CATGGGCCTGGAGTTGAGTCCTGCCTCCCTCACATAATTTTTCTGACTTTCAGTTTCCCTGTCTATAAAAAGAGTCTAAAAAGTGATGGGTTACCTATCCCCAGGTGTTATTATAAAGATTGAAATAAGATAATGCATGTAAAGTTCTTGATATATGTTACTAAAAGCAACAGCAAACATTTACATAGTATCTACCATGCTCTGAGAACTATTTCAAAAACCTTGTATGTATTAACTCTTCACATCCCCATTATGATCCTATGATATAGGCCCTATTATTATCTTCACTTTACATGGGGAAACCAAGGGCCAAAGAGATCAACTAACTTGTCCAGGGTCATATTAATAGTAAGTGATTATTATTTAATAATAATAATTAAATATTATTATTTAATTCTATCATTTAAAATTCAGGCAGTTTGCCTTGATTCTGGAATCTCAACCACTATCCCTTGTTGCCTCTCAATAGTAATTGCCTGTTGAATATTTGTTATTACTACAGTAATCAAATATTTGTTGAAATATTTATTTAAAAAATCAATATTTGCTTAAGTATTTTTTTACTTCATCTAAGTACAAAATCTTTATCATAGGCCACAAAAATGGACTCCTTTGCTCATAAGTTTTTTGAAGCAACTTCTCAGATTATGCCTACCCAGAATATTAACAAGGAGTATATCAGGGAAGGCAATTCAAAATAGATTCTAATGTACTATAATATCTACCATTTGCATGATTAGATTTTATAAAAAATTTAAATCAACAGTGTAAGATTTACTGCAAATGATTGATTTCATCTAATGAATACATCACTACCTACTTAAAAACTTTTAGAGGGAAAAAAGCTATAGGAAGTAGCTTTGAAGACAGCAAAAAAAACTCTTAATATTTTTAAAAACCATAAATCAAATGTATAACATCTAACTCCTATAGTTTGAGGTTTATGATTATATAGCCTGAAATTTACAAAATAAGCTTTTTCTATATTCTGATCCTGACAATATAAGTGATTTGACCTGTTGCTATTTGGCAAGAGGAGGGGTTATTTTATTGCTTTGTAACAAAATAACATACTTTGTTTACAAAGCAAGAATTTGTTTTCCAGGCAGTATTAAGAAAAAGGATATAATTATTCTCATTTTTCTAGAGCTTCATTCCTTGTTTCATTTTTCTGTTCTTACCCCTCTTTACTCTCTTTCACCTACTTGTAACTTACATAACCTTGCTGTGTGAGCTATATCAGTATAAACTGCCAGGAGTTCTTCCTGGAACAAATGAGTACAAATAAGTGTTCTGTGAGCAAAGCATAATGGAAGGTATATATGACATTTTCACTTGAATGGAATTCAAACAGGTAGGATTATTCAGAATTTATTACTTTATGTCATTCATGGACTTCTGAGAATCCTCCTGAGTGGACTGTCTGAATATAGGAAGATATCAGGTCCTATTCCCTGGAACCTGTGAATGTAACCTTTCAATGGGTAAAAGGGTTTTGCAGATGTGATTAAATTAAGGATCTTGTGATGGGGAGATTATCTTGGATTATCTGGGTGAGCTCTAAATGAAATCACAAGCATTCTTGTAAGAGGCAGAAAGTGATTTGCTAGAAGAGAAGGCAATGTCACCATGAAGGCAGAGTTTGGAATGACGCAGCCGAAAAACGCTAGCAGCCGCCAGAAACCACAAGAGGCAAGAACGCATTCTCTCTTAGGGACTCCAGAGAAGGGAAGCCCTGCTGACAGCCTCACTTCGGTCCAGGGGTAGTGATTCGGGACTTCTTGCCTCAGAACCGTGAGAACAAACTTTGTTGTTTTAAGTCACTGAATTTTAGTAATTTGTTTACCATTCATAGAAAACTAATACAATTATTAATCTGACTTTAAACAAGTTTTCAGTGGAGAGAAAATTTTCCTATCAACATTAAAGACTTTGGGAAAGACAAAAACAGTTATTTCTTAAGCTAATAAAATACGGAAAGGTAGTTTAAAAAGATCATTTTTTAATTTTAAAAAGTTTAAAATTTTAAAAAGGAACTTTTTTTATTTTAAAGGACTGCCATGATTCAGAAAAATGGTATAATCCTAACCAAATTATCCTCTAATATACCAATTTTATTAAAGTAAAATTCCTGGCATCAGGAAAGCAACTAAAAATGTTGGCCTTCTGTGGGCTTCTCAGTCCACACTGTTCCACAGCCCCTCCGCAGTGAATTGCTCTGCTCACAATTCCACTTCTGCATTGTCTGTTCCACCAACTTCCCAGAATGCCTTCTTGTTTTGCCGGAAGTCATCTACTCTTTTACAAAGCCAAAAAACATATTTGCAGGATTTCACTTACAGAAGAGTTTCTGGGACCTGCTGCTACACTTACTGAGCAATGTGTGCAAACCATGTCCACAGCACCTGGGTGGTTCTCTTGGAAAATAGAAGGGGATATCCCTTCTGTAGCTACCTACTTAACTTCATTCATTTTTGCTTATCTCTATATCAAGTGGCAGAAGGATAAGCCATCCCCATTCTGAATAATTTTAAAATAAACTGTGCTGATGATGGAGACACACTTAGGAAACCATAGGACTTTCTTAGAATCTACAAGGTAATTAATTCATTTAGCCAGAAAAAAAAAAAAGCCAAGTAGAGAGATTTTCCATTTAATATAAAGATTTCGTGAAAAGTTTTATTCTTAAAGAGCTTAATATGTCTGCTGATGAAATGACAAAGAAAAGACTGAAAATGAAGAACTAAAAGTACTGGGGAAATGAGGATTTAAGTTGTGAATGTTATCTTCCTAAATATTCATTTCTGTAGTACTTTAAGTTCTTCATTAAATAAAACTCTTAAGTGTGGTCATCCTAGATACCACCATCCTACATATCCAATACAAGTCACTTTGACTTTTCTTCTTAAGTATTTTTTAAACCTGTTCACTTTTCTCCTCCTGGCTGGCCATCACCCTAATCCAAGTCTCCCCAGGGCAACTTCATGTGCCTTTTAACTTGTCCTCCCCACCCACTGAGGTTCCACCCAGTCATGAGGGGAAGGAGGAGAGCAGGAAAGGGGTAAGGGAGAGGAAGGAGGGGACTTCAGTTTCCTCTTTCCCCTAAAAGTGACAGGCTTTGCAAGTTATGGAAGCAACCTAAACATCCATCAACAGATGAATGGATAAAGAAGATGTGGTACATACACACAATGGAATATTATACAGCCATAAAAAAGTACTGCCATTCGCCACAACATGGATGGACCTAGAGGGTACTAAGCTAAGTGAAATAAGCCAGGTAGAAAAAGACAAATGCCATATGATTTCACTTACTTGTGAAATCTAAAAACAAATCAAAACAAAATGAACAAAATAACAATAGACTCACAGACACTGAGAAGTGACCATGAGTGATTGCCACAGGAGAGGAGTTGGGATGGGTAGGTGCAGAGGTTGAGGGGGACAAAGGGGCACAAAAATTCTCAAATATAATATAAGTTGGTCATGGGGATAGTAGTACAGCATAAAGAACAGTCAATGATTCAATGATTCTGTAACATCTTCCTGTATTGACAGATAGTAACCAACAGGGGCTGTGGATTTAATAATATGGGTAACTGTTGAACCGCTGTGTTGTATACTTGAAACCCATGTAAGGTTGTACACATCAACGATACTGCAATAAAAATGAATAAGTAGAACATTAAATATGTTTATAATCTTTCTTGTTTTCTAATAAATGCACAGCTTTATCTGCAAAAATAAATAAATAAAAGTGGTAGGCTTTGAGTGGGAGGCTGGGCAGTCACAGCATGTACTCTGTTCCTCATTACCTGGAAATGTTACAGGGAATTTACTTCCTATGCTTGCTTCCTCTCTGGAGAATGGGAAAATGAACACTTCCTCTCTCATGAGACACCTGTGAGACGAAATGGGTCAACATATGCAAAACATAAAGAACAGAAACAGGGGCACCAGTAAGTGATCTTTGCTGTTCTGATTATCACCTACTAGACGGAAAGCTTTTCAGGCTCTCCCTGCTTCCTATGGCCCTCTTTCCTATCATTAACACAGCTGCATTTTACTGATCGAGAAACTCAAATGAATCAGTCTCTTCCTCTACTGTAAATTTCACAAAGAACAAATCAAGGCTGTTTGCTTTTCCTAGCACAGTGCTTGGCAAGGTAAAGCACTGGAATATCTGTTAAGTAAATTTCGTAAGTAAAGCAAGCCAGTGACACCAGTGGTTCCGATCGGTACTTCAGATGTCTTCAGAATTAAGAACACTTCTATCTGCTGTAGTTATTCTCCAACCAGAGTAACACAATCACCTAGGAAGCTTTCAAATATACCTATGCCTAGGCCCCAGAATTCCCTCTTTGAGTAGTCTGGGATCAGCCCCTGTCGCCATTTAAATAATTTTAATTTGCAAGGCAGGCTGGAAAGCTCCAGTGTCGTACCCACCAGCTTCATTCAGTTCAGGCTGAACAGCGCTTTTCATTTTGACAACACCTCCCCTTGGCTGAGAAATTCTCCTTTCCTATTTAGATAATGGGGAAAAAATACTGGAAGAGGCAGCTTTATGCTCAGGATGTTGGCTGACGGCACGAACTAGGATGATTCCGGCTATTCGTTCAGACAATTGTAATCCTGGCAACAACCTGTTGGGTGGCTCCAGGCCCATGTCGCCAGACCGCTCATTCACGAAGCCTCTGCCCCTAGATGGAGAGCGCATGGGGTCATCAACTTCTGCCTTTTTTTTTAATGGGCTTTAAAAAATTTTTAAAGTCATCACAGAATTTCCTGCCGTGTGGAAGAAAGGCGGTTGATGATTGTTAGAAAAGCTGGAAAATGCTGAACTCCGCATCCTATCCCTTCTTTGCTTTGCTCCCAGGACAGACTCCAAAATCAGGGTCCTTCCCACCACACATGCGCTGCACATCTCCCACCTTCCCACAGTGCTCCTTCCCACAGTTCGTGTACTCCCATTCCCGCACAAGTCCATCGGGCTTCCCTACCGCCGGTCCGAATGTACCCCAAGACACGAGGCTGCCCTTTGTGAAGCTGCCGCGGGCTCCTCCAGCAGGCGACCCGCCCGCGGCCGGGCGCCCCGCGCGCCTGGGAGGCAGAGGTCGCCTCCCGACCGTGGACACAGGTGTCGATTTGCTGGAGATCCGCGGGCGGGCAGCGCTCTCCTCGCCTCGGCAGGCAGGTCCCCGCGCGGCCGGCTGCGAGGCGCGCGCCGAGCTCAGCCCGCCCTGGGGAGCGGCCGGCCGCGAGCCCGCCGCCGAGGGGAGAGGCGTCGCGCTGCTCCTACTCCCCCCAGGGAAGAGGAACGCCACGCGGATTCCGGACCTTGCACAACAAGTCTTTTGGGCACCAGCGCGGTTCGGGAAGCTGGGTGAGGGTGGGGATGAGGGGGCGAATATCTGGTAAAAGAGGTAGAGCAGTGCGTGGGCCCATTTCCTGCGGAGGGACCTTTCCGCTTCACGTTTCCTTCACTGGCCCCTAGCCCCACAGCAATTCCTGAGTTTGGGGAGCAGGAATCGCCCCCCAGGCGCAGGTGGGAGTAGAGTTGCGGCCGCGTGGGGAGAGCACCGATCCACTCCGCCGGACAGCAAAGTTAGGAAATGCAGGGAAAGTGCGTTTCTGCGCGCCGGAGGACCTGCCCCTCAGGGCGATCGGCGACCACTCACCTTGTGCCTGCGCCTCCATGGTGGCCGACTTCGGACTGAGCGCGGCGGCCGCCCCGGCAGCGCTTCGCAGAGTGGCAGGCAGTGGTGGTGCCGCTCTGAACGCAGCTGGCGCCTTCCCCTGCACGCGAGTCGCGAGCGCTGCGTGGAGGGGGTGGGGTCCCGCGGGGCGGCCTCCACTGGCCGCTTGTGGTTACCTCCGCCCCTTCCAGTCCACCTGGCCCACACCACAGAGGGAAGGAGCCCGCCGCTGCGCGCCACCTGCCGGCCGCTCGGCGCATCGGGCGGGGGGCTCCCCCTCTGGGCTCAGGGCGCGTACTCGGGCCAGTAAGTGCCTGGCGGAGCTAAGTAGGCCCTGAAGTCTTTGTACCAGGGCAGGTACCCAGGGAGAGAGGAAGGAGGGTGGGCTTTCAATACTAAACCATTGCTCCTAGGGAAATACAGAGTTTGGCTCGTGTGACGCTCTGAGCCTAATATGTTTGCCAGCTGATCAATATATAACCTTGTTTTATGTCTGTCTCTGTTTAGATACCTTAGTTAATACATATTGTTGCCGCATTAACACTGAGATCATGGCCAACAGTACTGCACCTCATCTGAATAAAACTTACTAAGCTTATTTAATTTACATGTTTTCTCCCTAGCTTGTGGACCATTATAAAGAGTGAAATCACCACCCAAAAAGTACAAAAATGGTGTATTTGTAGTCTGTGAAGAGGGCACTTGTTCACAGAGAGTTGGAACACGAAGGGAGAGCTTAGCCCTGTTTGACGTCAGCCGGGAAGGTGTGCGCTTCTCAGGCTCCGCCCACGTCTGCGATGACCACGAAAAGCTTTCTGTTGGCGGTGGTGTCGCAAATACGTGTTTGTGAGGAGGCAAGTTCACAAATACGGAATCTGCAAATAATAAGCATCAACTGTGTATATCTTTTCTAATTTGAGACCCATAGGCCATGCCTGCAGGTGAATGAAGCAGTCTTGTTTTCATTGAAAAGACTAGAAACTTGCAGTTCTGTTCTAAGCCTGGCCTGGCAAGGGACTAGAAAGCATGGCAGAGATGAAGAAGTACCAGCTCATGTCTCACCTCCTCAGGTCTTTAGCCATCACATATCTCCCCTTTTCTTCACATCTTCATCTGTAAAATAAAATGTATATACATTTGGTCTTGAATGGTCTGCCATTTTTTTCAGTGATATATTTTTTCTTTCTTACACTATAGATATTAAAGTCTGTCAGGGTCAAGTGTGGGTCTCCTTCTTCCTGATTTCAGAGACTTATACAAATTCCTAGCTCAAAAAAGATTCATTGAATAAACAATTAACTAACCAGTAGGTTCTGTTTTATCCATGTTACTGTCACAGTCTAGACTAATAAATTAATGGAGTCTTACATTTTTGCTTGAAAGAAAGAGCACTCATGATTTTCTGGCACCTGTATAAACACAACAGGGTCTTTTGTTATGTTGAAAATGTCCCTGATTTATAATCACTGAGGTTAAAATTGCTCTATAGAACACCAGTCATAGGGCTTTTAAATGTTTTTTAGTGATAGTGACCATGAGTGCCAAGTAACAAATCAAAATCAGTGATTAAATTAGTTTTAGGTTCTATTAAGCTGTTCTGGTCCCCTCTACCCTGAAAATTAAACACCAGGTTAAAGTTGACTGCCAGATGTTAAAAGGAGCTAAAAATAAAGAGTTTCCAGCCTGAGTCATCTAACCTTCATCTAAACACTGACTCATTATCCTGATTTATAAAATTTTAAGTTGCTGCCCCTCTTAATGTCTTTTATCATTGTTTATAATCATAAAATATTGATGCTCAGAAATATTTATTGAATATTTTCTCTCTGCCAGGGACTGTGCTGGGTGCTAAGTACAAGATAAAGGCATGGGCTTTGGGGCTCCATGAGATTCTCACACTGAAAATAACTAGCTGTGTAACCAGAAGCAAAATTTTTAGCCTCTCTCTGGCTGGGTTTCTTCATTTTGTGGTGGGATGCTATATGAGGTATATTAATTGATGGTTTCTCCCCCTCCTTAGCCCACTGAGCGCCCAAGTTTCCAGACCAGGGGTTCCCAGCCCTCTTATGCTTCATCACTACACAAGGGCTATTTAACATTTCTGATACCTGGGTCCCACTCCCCAGATGTTTTGACTTGATTTATTTTTTTTTAATCTCCATAGGTAGTACTGATGTGTTTCCAAGATTGAGAAGGACTGCTCTAGAAACTGTCCACAGCAAAGATGAAAGCTACTAAATTCTCAGCTTTTAAATTTAAAAGTTGCTACTCAGTTCAACAGAAAATAATGGAAAGAAATGTGAGAAGGCAGAGGAAGGATTTTTTTTGCCCCTGCTTCCAGGGGAGTTTGAGAGGAAAGAGAAGTTTGAAGGAGAGCTTAGACATGTGTATCTTACCCTCCCTTCCTTTCCCTACCCTCATCAGGGCAAAGAGCACCTGGCCTTGACAGTCCCATCGGGAACTCAGGGCCAGACAGTTTTGAGAAATGTTAGAGACAGAGTATCTTAAATTTCCCACTCCAGTGGTGTAAGAAAGCATCTAGGAGTTACTCCCCTTGAGCCCCATATGGGATGTGGAATTAGGGAAGAGAAAACCAGCGAGTGAGCCAACATCCCAGGGTGCTGGAGGAAGAGGCTCCACATGCGAAGGGAGGGATGCCACCAAATCACTCAGGAAGACAGGAGGGGCTGCACAGAGGGAGAGGCAGTTAGTGTCTGTGTGGACCTCCCCTGGCTGGTGAACCTGCTGGCATTTCCCACTCATGCTACTATGCAGGGCAAAAGGAAATGGGGGGCAGAGTTTGGTGAGGTGCTCTCAGAGAGGGCACTGGGACTCCACAAACTTCCCAGTCCTTGGGAGGATTGGAATATGACTCCTATGTATGTCCACCAGTCAGAGAGTTGCTGTGAAAGCCAGCGGAGATTAGTGGGCTACAGTCTTGCCAGGACCACCGAAGTAGAAAGCCAAGAAGGGAGCATCAGAGTCATGCAGCATGAGGCCATCAGCTGGGGTATGCCAGGGTCCCAGGAAGCCTGCATGTCAGTCAGCCTCACCCAGTTAATACGGAGTCATATGATTTATCTCTTCCTCTCAATGCCCACCTCCTCTCCACAAAGAGAAGCTAGTACCTAGAAAGAAAGGCAAAAATTAGACTAGCTTTTTCTTTATTATTCACACACACATGCACACAGAGACAGAGAGACTGAGTTTCCAGACAGTGATAAGAGAGGGGAGAAAAGGTTTACTTTGCAACAGAGAAGCCCAGATCACTGTAGCTACAGGGGAGAAGGCTGTGTGGGGAAAGCCCCGCCCCCCACTTCCCAACTCTCCCTACTGTTCTATGAGGACAGCTGTCTGCTGCTTCATCCCAGAAGTGTCTGGCCTTGTCTGTAAACTGTGAAAACACCGCTCTCTTACTCATGAGTAAAGAACTAGGTAAGAGCCTTGAAGGCCAGATACCTGGCCATGAAGGCCACATGCATGTGCATTTTTACTACTTACTTAACCATAAATCAGCACTAACACAGTAGAAAAGGTACAGCTTTGTGCAGAATAAAGTAGCTTCTTTTGAGCACCCTTCATGATGGCTCCCGCCTCCTTCTTCACTCTTCACATCACCCCAAGACTTCAACTGCAATGCCCAGCCTGGTGCGAATCCCCTATTCAACTGGTGAAACTGAAATAAGTCAAGGGAACAGATAGGTTAGGAGAAAAAGTTTTTTATTGCTCACAGCTTGCCTGAATCACTAGGTAGGCCCTGCGCGGTCCATCTTCTCTGGCCGCCACTCACGCTCTGCTCTTCCGATCCGCATGTTCCAGGAGGAACTCCATGGGCCTTGGTGACTGGCAGATGCCAGACCAATCACATACCAGGAATGGAGGGAAGGAGAGAATTTTCTCTCCACTCTTTGCCCTGGATCAACAGGAGGCTGTAGCAGTAAACACTCATTCATGTGTAAATGGACTAAGGTCAGGTGGGAGATTCTGGAAATTCTGCCATTTAACCCACAATCATATACTAGCATAAGATTATTCTACTAACCAGAACTAACCAAAATTAATGAATCATGACCAGCCGTGTGTAAAGGAGCTATTTTCAAGCCAGTTGAGGGAATGGTTATTGGAAAAGCATCAGTATTTTGTGTTTATCCCTCCAAAAACTTATGACTCCTTAATGAATTGGTTATACTACATAAAACCCTTTACAAAAACCTAGTGGACACATTTTGTTTTTTCTAAGTTCCTCCAAAATTTCTAGACATATTTCCTGGATCCAGAAATTATACATGAATGTTCAGAAAATTGAGAGGATAAAGGCACTTTATTTTTCATTATAAAAAAGACATGTTATTTAATTGTACCCTGAGGTTCCTGTATACATGAATACTAAAGTTTACTTCTTTAAACTTAAAAACTTTAAAATTTATAATAATTTTTAAATATCAATCCCTAAAATATATTTAAAATGTTATTAGTTTTCCAAGGGCTTCTCAACTGTGACACTATTGACATTTTTTTACTTGCTAATTCTTTGTTGTGTTGCAGGATATATAGGAGCAGCCTTGGCCTCTGCCCACAAAATGCCCAGTATCAACTCCTTAGTTGCAACCATCAAAAATACCTCCAGACTTTTCCAAATATCTCTTGGAAGGCAAAGTTGCCCCCAGGTGAGAACCATGGATTTAATTCTTTCTTGAAGATCCAGAATCATTAAGAATAGGAACTGTAACTCTGTATAACATAGCAAGGCCTACAGTGTAAGGTTGCCCTCTGATCCTAGCCTGGGAGGGACTAGCCCATCACGTCCACAGAGAGCTGCTCTTGGAGTTTTCGTGTCTCTTTCTGTTGTCACTAGTCATTCCTCCTCTGCTGCCTAAACAGATACTATTGTCCAAGAAAAGACTAAAAAGGGCTTTCCCTCATCCCCAAAGAGAGATGGGAAGAACAAGATAATGCAGAATGACTCATGTGGCTATCACTCTGTAAAACTGCATGTGGAAA